CCCCCCATACACACACACAAAGTTGTTTTAGTCAGAAGCATGCTGATGTGGAAGGAATGTGAGAATTGTATTAGTCCCTAGAATTACTGAAAATGTGGCCAAGGGAAATTGACTTAAATTTCCAGGGTAGCTTGGGACCTATTTTGTGCAACTTAAAAACATGAGACAGTGCCCAGCCAGAGTAGATCAGTTGGTCATTGTTCTGTGCACCAAAAGATTGCCGGTTGGATTCCCAGTCAGGACACATACCTGAGTTACAGGCGCAGTTCCCAGTCAGGGAGAGTATGGAAGGCAACCCATCAGTGTTTTTCCTCATGTGGATGTTTTCCTTCCTCTAAGCATGTCCTTGGGTGAAGATTGAAAATAAAGTCCTGGCTGGTGTGGGAGTCATGTGCACCTAAAGGTTGCCAGTCCCATTCCTGATTGGGGCACATCCCTAGGTTTAGCACTTGATCCCCCATACCCAGCATGTGGGAGGCAGCCGACTGGGATGTTGCTTTCCCTTCCTCTCTAGGAATCAAAAATTTTCTGAAAAACATGATACATGATAGAGTAGCAGTTTAGAGTGGGACCGTGGTATGGCGTCCCACACCAGTTACCTTCATCTTCAGCTGAGAAAACCCACATGGTTACAGAAAGCAGGGTTCTCATCACCCAGGACTCCTGGGTGTGCTGTACACTGGTAACAGGCAATTGTGGCCCCCTAACTGCATGCTTCTCCTGGGGCAGCTGGGAGCCAACCTGGTTTTGGTTCAGTACGTTGCACAAGGCCTCAGAATCTACTTTTCTACAGGTCCCAAGGTGCTGCTGGTCTGGGTACCATTTACGCACGTTTGACTTTCATCTGAGCCTATGCCTATCCTAGTTAAGACTGGTACTGGTGGGGGAATTGGCTTGAGTACCAGGGATTAAGACATGAGGCCCAATTAAGTCTTAGGATTTTCTCATCCATTCATGGAGAACAGACTACATGTTTAAGTGATCCAGTCAGCTAAATAAGCACACCAACTTTTTTTCCAATTCCCATTTATTTTTGGCTCTTGGGGCAGTCATTTTTTCAATATGAAAAAAAGCAAATTGAACACAAAACAGAAATTTGAAGTGTAGGGTAGGACAAAACCAAAGGGGGGGGGAGGCAGTAGCAAAAGAAGAAATGAGATGTTGCCAAAAAACAAAGGGTGTCCTGTTCCCTCTCCTCTGGGGAATGACTCCAACATTTAGGTGTCAGTACATACCTTTCATATACATTCAGGACTGATACTCCTTTTTTGCTAAGAAAAGGTGGAGATGAGGGGTGCCTTTCTGGAGTCTTAGGGACTAAGGCTGGTCACTCTCTTCTTCCTTTAACTCCTCCATTCAAAGGAAGAGATTCACTGTGGGAGGTAACGTGGAAGAGGGAAGGGTCCTAACTTGATAAGAATGGGGCGGACCCTGCAAAGGAAACAGCTCAGGACAGAGCTTGGAGACTGAAAATCGAAATAATACTGTTAACACCTCCCCCAAAGCTAAAGGTGGAGCACGAAAAAATACCTGGAAACTAGGACTTTAACAGCCAGCTCTCCAAAACTGCTCTGGAATGGGAGACCCCGCCCACTCGTGGGACTGCTGCAGCTAGAGTCAGCACGGTTCCCTTTCCCTGGGCTGCCACGTGGGCTGCGCATGGTGGTTTCAGCCCAGCTCCAACATGGGATCTGGGCGACATCCAGCTCCTTGACGAATTACGTTGGAAATGAGTTAAATATTAACTGGGCCCTGGCCCATGTGGTTCAGCTGGGTGTCACCCCACGCACCAAAGGGTCGCTGGTTTTGGGCTCAATCCCAAGTAAGGGCCTGCGGGAGGCAGCCAATCCATGGTCTGCTCTCACATGGATGTTTCTCTAAAAATCAATTCTAAAATCTTTTAAAAGAAATTAACTGGACAGAGAGGAGGAAATGGGCGCCATAAGGAAACACAAGGCTGCCCAGCAGAATGGCAGAAACAGATCCCAGAGCGGAAGAGAGGAGACAATCAAGAAACGAGGAGTATTTATTGAGCGCCTATTGCGTGCCAGGCACTGCTCTAGAACAGCCGGGAAAGAAGAGGCGGGAGAGGCGGTGGAGGGGCG